AAGTCATTCTGGGAAAGCACAAGGCAGGCCTGCCGCCCACAGGTTTGCCGCTCTGGGTTGACGTCCGTGACGTCGCCCTGGCACACGCAAGGGCCATAGAGGTCCAGGGCGCCGGAGGCAAGCGTTTTCTCACCACAGCCGGCTTCTACAGCAATGAAGAGATGGCGAATGCACTTTGGAACAGCTTCCCTTCAATGCGGGAAAAGCTACCAGAGCCTGGTAGCTATGGAGGAGCGCCCAGTCCGGCTTTAAGGTCCTTTGGATACAACACGTCCCGGGCGAAGGAGATTCTGGGCTTACAATGGACTCCGTATGAAAGGACTGTCGTTGACTCAACTATATCATTGGATGGATTAGAGGAGTAGACAGAGACTCATACGCACCCATCGATAATGAATCGAGTTTGGCCAAGATTTCCATTGAGCTGTTGCAGATAAGACCTCGAATTGATGCGGGCGCTTGGATTTCCTTCTTTCACACAGTTTTTTATTTATTTTAGATGAACAACTGAACTTTTCTCATTCTGCATTTTATTCATGACTGAGGAGGTACCCAAGAGCCAGGATCATTCTGCTAGGCACCAAGCGCGTAGCTACCGGTCATTGCAAACACGGTCCAGTAATCTAGGTCTGGTGCCGTTTGTGTAACATAAAGTATTTCTTTTGCTGATTTGAGTCGTCCAGATTGCCACATAAACTTCAGACATTGATGCACCCAAGCTTTTACTTTCTCATCTTCTGATACTTGATTGATTAGATAAAGGGGCGCCAGGAAAGTGCTGCAGTGAAGTCGTTGTACAGGCGAGAAAGGCAACGAATTTGTTTTGTGTACTCCTGGTAAGATGAATTGAGGCACTGAGGCGCACATTTGATTGACCGAGTCGCGATTCGTTCCATGAAAGGTGTCCTCTTTCGGGCGACTCTCCTCAGGGACGTAAGTCTTGAGAAGGTGATAAAGAATTAGGCGGATGGTGCAGATTGCATTGGAGACTTGAGTGATGTAGTGGTCCGGGTAGATGTCATAAAATAATCCCAGGACTCGCTCATCTGCAGTGACTTGTATGGTTTTTGGCTTCCAGGATGGTGGGCGGGCCTTGTCCAACGTATCGATTCTTTCGTCGAGACATTTTGCCTTGACAAGAAGGTCCAATGTTGAGATTCTCCCGTGAACGATATCGGACTTAAGGTTGACAATCTGCGCGAGGACACCTAGAAATGTCCATTTCACGCTCTTGACACGATAGCCAATATTTCGACGGGCCTTCGTAAGCTCTGGAGGTATTCTATCTCCAACTGTGGCACAGCTCACCGTCACTGCCGTCACAAGTCGAGCTGCAACTTGACAGCCTGTTGGGGTAGACATAATACTCGTCTCACGGGCGCCGAGTAGTGACAAGCCACCTTGTGCGTGACTCAGCCATGCCTGAGACTTTCCCGAACCCCGGTGGACAAGCTTTTCGTACATATCTAGCAGTAGGATGGTTTGAAGAGCTCTTTCCGCTTCGTCAGGATCGAGTGAGCTGAGAGTGTGATTAAGTCGCCGGATGGCCGTGACGTAACTTGAGTTGGCCAGGAGGAGAAGATTTGGGCTGTCGAGCTCAACAGCCAAAAAAGCCAGACTGGCTGCTTCGACGCCCGCTGAAAGATGATCTAGTGTGTGTGCGTTCCGGTAATGGTAAGCTATCTCACCCATGCTCCGAGTAAAGCCTTGGATGTACGTCGAGAAGAATGCGTATCGTGCTCGCGTATCCCAGCTCAGCTCCAGAGTGGCTAGATGATTTTCTGCAGGTAGCATACGGCTCCGACGAGCAGTCACCTTTTTTTCTGCCGACAAGTTTTCATTACGGAATTGGATAGCGTCAGGGTCCCGATATCCATGACATATTATTCTAGCCCTGGCACACTGGCCACACCTATCTGGCTGAAGATCACACTAGCGGCGAATAACTGTTAGTCAAAGGAGGTTTTCTAGCAGAAAGTATGCAATTTGAATGCTCGGTAGGTCCAAAGAACTTGCCTTGAGTTTCCTTGCCCTGCATGGAAGGCATGCCGGCGAAAGACGCCCTCGGTTCACCATCGGTCTAAACCTCAGGGGTCCATTCCACAATTTGTGCCTAAATAATCCGACAAATGTGCGAATATCGAAGCGAAGCCTGCGGATAAGCAACGAACTTCTGGAAGGTGTCCAATTCTGCGATTGTAACTATGGCGAGATGCAGGTTTGGCGATTCTGCACCATTTTGCTAAGGGATGAAGTTGGGGTTGTCTCATGGCACGTCGTCCCATTGTCGTCTTTGTGTGTTTCCTAATACTGGGTCTTTCCTAAACGGGCTAGCGTTCCGGTCCCCCAACTCTAAATTTGTGGAGGTCTTGTCTGAGTTGATTCCCGTATTTTACTACCTTAATTAGTTGCCCGACTTGTGTCGAGGCACTATAGAGCTGAGCATAAAGTACTGGGATAATTTCATTTGTTTAGGCCAAGACAAAGTCTCCGAAATGCCTGCAATACTTCTCACGCTAGCTCTAGCTAGGAAAATGTGTTATCTTGGCGACACATGCTCGTTCGTCTTCGCTCACTATGCAGTGTTAAACGTCTCAAGGTTTCGCGACTGAGCGCGCCAAGCAAAGGGTGCTCGATATGTTATTCAATTTTCTACTGGTTTCTGATGGCTTCCAACAATACTTCCCCAATAACCCCTGCGCTAGGTGGATTCTGTCCTGTAATCAAGCGTCCGTCCTTGCCGCTCGTCACGACTTTCACCCCAAACGGCTGATCCGCCTTCACGTACCTCCCGCCATGGTTTCTAAGTTCCGTTTCTAGAAGAAATGGCATTGCATCTGTGAAGCTGTAGGCGTCTTCTTCAGCATTTGAAAATCCTGTAACTTCGCTGTCCTTGACTAAGTACTCCCCGTTTGTGAGCTTGACATTGACGAGGGCGCCGGGGCCATGGCAGACGGCCGAGACAATCTTGCCTGCTTCGTAGAACTCTCGGATGATAGAATGTGAGACTTGGTCGACGGCGAGATCAAACATGGCTAGATCTGTGTAAGCTTTTGATGAGGCCATTTTGGTCTGAGCCCTACTCACGCCCGTGTCCGCCAACGTAGAACACGCCGGCAAACTCGGCAGACCTTCCGATAAAAGACGACAGGGTCTCAGTTTTTTCCCAAAGATCTTTCTTGTCTTTCAGAAACCTCTGGCACTCTACATCGTCTTTGCTGTCCTCAACGGAGTAGGGGTCGAGGGGAGCAACACCACCCTTAGGAGAAGCGATGACGAGGTCCACATGAGGGGCAAGAGCGTTGTATGGGTGAACGAACTCGGGAAGATACCATCCAGTCTTGAAGTCCTCGCGAGTTGGTAGGATATCCTGAGATGTCAAGACAACGAGAAGCTTGGGCCTAGTCGACATGGCTGGTAGGATGGAGTAAGGAATCAGGGAGGACCACAGAGTGAGGGTTGCCGAAAGACGATGCTTGAATGCGATAGAATGCGATAATGACCAGGGATGGGCGTAGGTTATTGCGTACTTAAATACGCATACGGACAGCCCATCTCCCGGAACAACGGCCATTTATCAGCCATCGGCATCGCCGCAGTGTTAGTTCATGGAACGAAAGGAATACCCAAAGTAGTTTACGGCGTCTTATTACTCGCGCCATGCATTTCGGGTACAAGAAATGTCCTGACATTCCAGGGTGTAGGTATCATCTGGACATGTCTTATATCCGAGAGAGAACTTTTTCTCCGAGCAAGACGGTTGAGAGCTTGAGGTATAAGTACCGATTTCCCTGTGTCGTCTCATATTCCGAGCTTATCCCGCATTCGTCCTATCCTCTCCCCTACACTCCCGCCGATCATTCTATATATCTAAAAAGTCGATTCTGAACATTAAACCATCCACACCTCCAGTTCTTTCAGACGTCACAAACATCGATCACTATGACCGTCACTATTTCCGTCGTCTTCCCCAACGATCCGGATGCCAAGTACGATATCGACTACTACACCACTAAGCATATGCCATTGATTCAAGAGCAATGGGGAAAGTACGGCGTCACGTCGTGGTCGGTCACCAAATTTCAACCGGGTGCTGATGGCACCCAGCCATTGTACGCCTTCGGATCAACTGTCACTTGGGACAACATCGAGCAGATCAAAACGGCTTTCGCCGGGCCCGAAGCTGGTGTGATCATGGGAGACGTACCCAACTTCTCCAACAAGCAACCTATCTTCCTCACAGGCGAGGTACTTGCATGAGAGTGGGAAGTATCATATCTTGACAGTCAGTTGATCAATGATGGTTCAAAAACATCCTTAAATTTTGTTGAGAGTTGATGAATAAAATTCGAATCGATATGAGTAATGTATATGTGCAAGATTGTTGCTTGAGTAGTGTGTCGGCTTCCGGTTGAAATCTCCTGACTTAGGTAGACATCTTCTACTCAAGATGCCTCTGCGAAACTGCAGGGTTGAAGTCAAACATACATGTATGGACCTTCATAGCACGGTGATCCATTGCTGTTAAGAACCCAACTCTCGTAAGGCCACGTAGAGATGACTCCCGTATAGAGAATTTAAGCTAAACAGGTAACGATTTCTGGAATGGGGTTTCTGCGGAGGAAAGGCGCTAGAGTAGACCTATACGGGAACCACGCTGTGAGCCATGGCAGAATACGGGTATTTAGTCCGCATCCACCAATCAAGCCTAGACCGTAACAATAACACATAGACATGACGCAGATTGTGCCCTTGGTTCAATGGCATGGTCTGTACGTGTACAATTCGAAAGAACTTGAACTACCAAAGTTCAAAGTGGTCTGCAATCGCCGTGTTCACGTGGTGTTGCAATCGTTTCAAGATCATGCAATGGGGCTTATCTGGATACTGTGTACCACAAAAGAAGATGCTTGGCAAAGGCATTGATGTGTTCGATATCAACGTGGCTTCATGGGCTCCACACCCTAGAAGTCCACGATGAGGATCTCGTAGAGGTCATATCAAACCTTGATGAAAGCGAATGTCCCTGCTCCCATCTTCCGTGTCTTGCAAATCCGTGCAGAAAGAACGAATGCCATTCCCAACATCATGCAACAACCGGCAAATGCTTGTGCGCCAACGTATTTGCCCCCCATCGCATCGATAATGGCTCCTGCAATCGGCGATCCGGTGAGAGATGCGAAGCTGACCACCGTGAAAACCATGCCCATTCTCGTACCCTGCTTTTGAGGGTCCGTGGTCAAGCTACTGAGCACGGAGGGAAATAGTGACTGAACTCCGCCAACAGCAAAGCCATAAAAAGCAGTCCAGACATATAGCCCGGTCGTGTTTTGTACGCCAATCCAACAGAACATCACGGTGCCGGTCATGAACGCCATTGGAGCAAATATGTTGATAGTACCAATTACGTCCCCAATCTGGGCCGGAACAATTCTTCCGAGTGCACCCGCACCGTTGAGAACCAATAATAGGTCAAGTGAGTCTGTGTAAGATAGTCCCAAGACGTCCCGGGAGAATGCCGCAAGAAAGTGGAAGGCAAAATAGGTTCCCCAGAAGCACTGGACATTTTTTAGTACCTTATGCTCGCTCCGGATCAACATGCTTACCATGAACGCCCCAATAGCATAGAGACTATACTCTGATTCTCTAAAGGCTGCCCACTCTACTAGAGGTGCTGCCTGCCGTGGTGGAATCCTGGTCTTGATTAGTAGGCCAGCAACTATCAAAGTCACAACCTGAATCAAGGCAATAGCTCTAATGGTCCAGCCAAGCCCTATCCTTGGCAAAAGCTGCCGAACCATGCTCGGGATAGTGAGACCTCCGACAACAGCCCCAGCGGCTGTGAGGCCGAACGCCAATGAGCGACGCTTCGCAAAGTACGTAGATGTCACTGCCATACAGGGACAGAACAGACAACCGTTTCCGAGGCCTAGGCAGATACCCTGGGCGAGAAAGAATTGCCAGTAGGTGGTACAAAACGAGGCAGCAACCATTCCCAAGATGACAAGGAAGAAGCCGGCGATGAACAAGGGACGAAAGAATCCCATATCTGTCCATCGTCCCGTAAACGTCCCGACAAAAAAGAGGAGGAACACTTCAAATGAACCGATCCACGAGACATCGGACTGTGGCCGCGAAAACGCTCTGGTGAAGTATGGCTGAAAGACGCCAAAGGAGTTTGCAACCCCCCTACAAAGTATTAGCACCCCAAATCATGCAACGACAGAGTTTGAAGCACGAACCAGGTGTTCATAACAACTAGAAATGTGCTAAAAACTGTCACATCATTAGTGATGTACATTTTACACGTGTAGTGCACAATTTGCGCATTGCTGAGTTCCACTCACCTACCATCCACGCTCTGGCGCCACCATCTGGCGGCGTATCAATGATTATACTTGGCCGCGATGCACTTCTCTCGATGCTACTGTGGGGGGCCGCTCTCTCGGCGGCTATGCCGGCATTGTAAGAGTGTTCTCGAGGTGTATTGCACATTTTGGTTGATCGCGGCTCATCAGGTACAGCTTCTTGCTTCTCACCCATACTGCAAAATTCGGACGGGAAGAACGGTTTCCAAAGTGCGGTAGTAAACTGCAGGGGAAGAGGCCAAACCCCAGCGAATAACGAATCGACGATGATGGATCTTTTTGAAAAGATGAGACTTGTGAGGCACTCTTGTTCGAAAAATGCCAAAGGTCGTAGATACCTGCCGTTCTCAGCTGTACATTTGACAGGCCAAAAAGACATTCTTGCTGTTATAGGTAATTTACCGCGGTCGGGATCGTCCGTCCATAGCCGATGGTCTCCGAACTCGGCCCCAAGATTCAGTTCCCCAGCAGAACCCACCTAGGGAGAGAGGGGTTCTCCCCACCATCCCCCCTTACGGTTCATTTTGGTTGACTCGGCCCATTGTGACTCAGTTCAGTTATTTGCTAGCAAACCGCTGCCGCAACCTTCCTTTCCAAGTCTGGATTGTAAACAAAGTAGTCATCGATGAGGCTCTGGTAATCCCTTTTGAGGTGTCAACTAGGGCTGATTTGTCGCCCTTTTGCGACCTTTGCAGCGGGCGTCGGGTTTTCGCCTGCCGCTGAGCTTCTCGATGCCCTTTTTATGCAGTGTCTTGGCTGATCAGGTTCAAACCCACCAATCATTAAATCGCTCTTACGAACTTTTTCATGGATAGCGAATTGCACCTTTTACTTGCAATGCAGTGTTTTCCCTGCAACTCCGGAGCAGGCTAAACGATCGGTTTGTGAGGGGGGCAGGCCCCTACTAGGCCTTATATCATCCGATGCGTAAACGGCCATAGACTCTTGTTTGCATTGTTCAATGTCAGCGACACGTCCCGAATGATCTCACCGTTCGGATTGACTCAATTTTCTGACATTGGAAATCCAAGACTTCAGAGCAAGACGCATTTGGCAGTAGAACTAATCACGGCCAACAGAGACGACTAGTAACATGAGGCAGCCATCTTAGAGTTCTTGATCAAAGCCATAGAGGAAGTGGGAGGCCAGCGCAGACAGCGTACTTGACAGCAAAAACACCTCGACCAGCGCGTCCAGAGCCTCCCATATAATCGCTCAATTCCGTCATTGGATTGACAGAGTCCGACATTCTCTGATCATCCGACCACAGCAAGAATCGACGTGAATCAGACGTCATACATGCTTGCGCAGCTCTTGCGTTTCTAAATAGCTGACTTCTGGAAGGCAGCAGGAAAGTTCATTCATCGTTTTTGCCTGCCCTATAATATGACTGCTATTCTCTCCTTTCGGTAGAGTCAGAGGTTGTTCAATTACGAAAGAGATGTAGGCAAAGGGCTATCAGGGCCTCAGAGCTCGTGTGATCAAATAGTTGCCATGATTAGCAAATCATTTTGTTTAAGTACTTGAACTCTGGGTAACCCCACAGTCTAGCATCATGCAACATGCATGATACTTCACGCTTTAGAGGCCCAGGGGGCGTCTCCGGCACCTTCCTTCAGTCCAGCCTTGTGTTCCTCCAGCCAACCCCTGACAGTCGTAGGCTTCCTCTCAAGGGTCCTCTCCACAAAGTCGTTCAATGACCAAATCTCCTCATGCGCTTCCTCATACTTGAAGAAATTCCACATGACTTGCACCAATTGAGGTCCCATAACAGGTCCATAGAACTCGGAAAACGCTTCGAAGCTTCCATCATACGCAATCGGTTCATCGAGTACTTCGGACAACATAGCCGCCACCTCCTTGAACGTGAGCCAGTCATGACCATTGTTCATTGTGTGAAAGGCACCAATGTGCTTCGCGTTGTTGGACAAGAACAGTCTGCCCGCAACCTCTGCGATGTCTCGAGGGTCCACGAAAGGCACACGATGCTCTGGCCAGATCAGAGTCTTCTTTGCAATGACTGGCTTGATTTGAATCCAAAAGTTGTCCATGAAAGTAGCTCCAGAGTTGATGTAAGTGACAGGCAGTCCACTTGCATCGAGGATGCGTTTGGCGATTGGGTGTTCGATTGGAAGGGATCCTGAACCGAGAGTGGTGGGAATCAGTGAAGGCGAGATCTCCGGGAAAACTCCCATCAGGCGAATGACGTGTAAGATGTTCTTGGCCTGCTTCAGGGCGGTGACCAAGTTCGTCATGGCCTCCTCTTCCGAGATGCCTGCTGGAGTAATGACAAAAACACCCTCAATGTCGACGAGGGCGGCGGAGAGGGATGTAACGTCCGAGTAGTTGGCTTCGACCACTTCGGCGTTTGCAAAGGTATCTTGAAGCTGTATTTTCTTGCCCGGGCTGCTTGTAGCGAGTCGCAGCTTCATCGTAGGAGCCTCTCGAATAAGAAATTCGGCCAAGGGTCTACCAATATGAGCGGCCGCTCCAAAAATCAGAATGCTCTTCGGAATAGGCTTGATGAATGAAGACATTGTGAGGGAATTTAGTTGTCAATGAGACTTCGTGATACAAAGTAAGTAAGATGATGCACTTGTGATGGTAGAGATGAGTTCGTGACGAAGTTGACGATAAGTCCGTGATTCAGAGATTACCAAGAGGGTTTATATACTGCCTTACAGTCTGGATGATGTTGGTAAGTATGGTGAGCCGGCAGTCAATAAGTGCCGTTCGGGCCTTGCACAGGCCTAGCGGCCGAGAGCATTGTCTGAGCTTGAAAAGGCTTGGCAGGACCGGAAAACATGTGTCAGTAGGACCAGATATTGAAGCTTTCAATACCCCTTAACAGATCTGCTTTTAGATAGGAGCTCCATTAGACGATACTCTTGGCTGAAATCCACATATGCTTCAGCCGAAAAACACTCCGTCTGGTCTTGCAATTAGACAGCGGTAAACGTTACCGCTTTGGACAAGAGTTTCCGTCTGAAAGTAGGTCCTCACGGATCCTAACTATCGACGAACCGCTGACATAAGCGGCTTGAACCATGATCTCTAAAAGCTGAGGCGTCCTGCCTTTGCGAAAGTCAGTAGTTCGGCAATTTGACACCCAACTTGGCATGCCGGACAGTTTTGAGTTCTGAAATTTAATTTGAAAGCACTACATTGGCCTTCTGATTTACAATCGTGCGCCGGAGCGGATTCTTTTTGACTTCATTTTAAATCCGTTAACGTACGGAACGGGCCGTCAACGAGCTTAACTCAGTAATCGAACATGTGACTACACAAATCTCAACATTGGCCTTGATTTTCCGCTACTAGAATATCTACCATCTGCTTTCCCGCACCAACAAAACAACGGGACTGGCACCGCCCTACTAGTACACATACACAAAGTTGGGATTCTCCTTGTCGGTCATGTCTGTAAACGCTGTGGCGTTGAGCTCGTCGGCGGTATAATTGTCATTTGCACGCAATGCGTCTCTTTGCTTCTCTTTGCGCTTGTTCTCCCAGATGAAGGCATACCGGAAGACAAAGAAGAGAGCAAGCTCAATGCAATTTGCGACCAAGAGTGACCCAATACCGAGATGATACGAGGGAGCCTGGTTCGTTTTGTAAAAGAACGGGCTTGCGATATTGCCGATGCAAGCGCCAAACCAAATCATGCCAGAGACAATCATTTTCTTTGACTGGCCACCAGTGTTCGATGTGATTAGCGAAAGAGAGATGACGAAGGACGCTTGGTATGAACCAGTAAGATAGCTTGTGACAGTCAGTATCCATCTCGTGATAGTGTATGAGGGAAAACACCTTACAAGCAAATGAGACGACCGATGTAGGCATTGGCTGGTGCAAGAAGGAACCCCAAGGCACCACCAATGGTTGGCAACATAAAAAGTGCACAAACCAGTGTACGACTGTTGGCCGGCATATACCTATTTGCCAAGGCACCAAGACCAATCCAGATAACCACCAGAGCGCCTTGCGGGATGCCAAGCAGCGCCGTCTCAAGCGTCCCAAAGCCAAGACCCTTGATGACAAGTGTGGAGAAGTTGGAGATGCCACCGTTGGGGACGTTGGAAACAAAGCCTAACAAGGTGAAAAGCCAAGTCTTGTAGTCCATATAAGCTTCCTTGATTTGACCCCAGTTGATACGGCGTTGCTCGATGCCTGTTTGATTGCGACGCATGCGGGCGATCATGATAAGCTTCTCTTCATGGCTGAAGCCCCAGATGGTTCGTGGAGAGTTGGGGAGGCAGAGAGCGAGAATAATTGCCCAAAATGCACAAAAAGCACCCACGACAAGGAACTCGTAGCGCCACGACTCTAGGGCGCCTTTGATATGTCCAATACCGTATCCTAGAATAAGATTGTCAGCGGGATATCGTTGGGGAACATCGGTACTGTAGAATTGTCCAAACTCACCAATGAGACCACCACCAGCAACACCAATTCCATTCCAAGCATACCACGCTGAGATACGAGAGGGCTGCTCAGATCGTGTGTAGTACATGGATGTGATCAACATAAAAGCAGGATCTGCGATGGCCTCAAAGGCACCAGACAGTACGCGAAGGGCAAGAAGGCCGCCGAAGTTCTTGGCTGCGGCCTGAGCCATAAGAAGGGCGCCCCACATGAAAATATTGAAAGAGAGATACCAAGCTGGACGACAGCGCTGCATAATCAGGTTGGATGGGATGGCCCAGATAAGCCAGCCGAAATAAGTCAACATACCCACTTCCTGGCACCCCCCTGTTTCTGGCACCCACAAAAACGCGAAAATCCACCACAACCCAATGCCCACCCCCAACCTCCTTTTATCACAACATTTTCAATTCGCGTCCAAATGGGCTCATCTTTTGCACATGTCTTCTTCTATATATAATGCCTCAATATACCGAAGATCAGCTTCGTCAGGCTCTCGAGGA